GGAGGCCCTGCTGGGTCCGGATGCCGCACCGGAGCGAGACCAGGGTGCAAGTGCTGCCTGCCGAGGTGCGGCGCTGGGTCTCGCGCTGCCGGCCCCAGGCAGCCGCTGCACTGCCAGGCCAGCCGGAGCTGGGGGCCCCACCCCATGCCAGGCCAGCCCCTGGAACAGGCAGCGCTGGAGAACATCTCCCCCACCCTACTGGGGGCTGGCGTCCATCCGAAGGCAGCCCAGGGCCACCTGGTTTCAGTCCCATGGGAGCTACTCCAGCTGCTGTCAGGAGCCCTGGGAGGGAGAAGAAGCCGGCTGCGAAGTCTCCACACCCCCGCATCCGTTGTCGCTTTCACTCCTACAGATTTCATTTGGTTTGTGTTGCGTGCGCTTTGCCAGTGGGGCCAGTTCTCCCGGGGCTGAGCAAGAGGAGCCAGGTCTCCTCGCCAAAACCCTCTTGAGACTTGCTAGGTTCTCGGCATCTCCGGCGGGAGAGGTCTCCTGGGAGCCAGCTGGCGGGAGGACGCCGAGAGGCGCCCGAGGATGGAGGAGTGCAGCATTGAGTGGCCAGGCAGGAGAAGGCCCAGGTGGGACCTGCTGGTGCCGTGCTGTTTGGGCCCCGACGTGGCATGATCGTGGCTGAGCACTGTTGGGTTGTGACACATTCACTAGGCAGATGCCACGACCTCCGGCAGGACTGCGCTGGAAGTTGCGTGCGGCTCTGCTCCTCAGCTGGTGTCAGCTAGCCCCGCGGGGCCTTTGGCCATGTCCTTCTCCCCTCGCCTCCCCTCCCTAGTCACTGGGTGCAGGGCCCAGGGGTGTCCTCTCTGTTCTTCCTGTCCATTGTCAGGACAGATCTGGGGTGCACAAACCTCCCGAGGCGGAGGAGCTGCGTGCGCCCACTCATCCCTACTGACCCTCGGGGCTGAGGTGGTCCCTAGCCACGGAGGCAGGCCCCTGCGTCGAGGGGGGCGCAGGCCCCGTCCCATGCTGCTTGGCCTGGCTGCTCCGCGTGTCTCCCAGGCAGAGCACGGAGGCGGAACAGCAGCTGGGAAGGCCAGGGAGCCAGGCTCACAGTGCGGCGGCTGTAGCGTAGGGCTCTCCCGACACCAGCAAAGGGGGGTTTCCGTGGCTGTATTTGACCTGCCTGCCCCCAAGGCTGTAGTTCGGGCAGTGGGGGGGATCCTTCTGGTGCCCAGCAGCAGCTCCGCAGGGCTTCAGTGGGCCGGCGGGCAGCTCTCGGGCGTGGATTTTCACAGAGCCCAGACCTCAGCTGGCTCCCCTGGCGTGTCACCAGGTCCAGCCGTCTCATTCCCTGTGACGGACCGGGCCGTGTCTAGGCACAGCTGAGGGCGTCCGCTCAGGGCGAATTGCTCAAATCCGGGGCTCCTTACAGCCCCCAGACTGGTGACCTCTCCAAATAGGCCACAAACCAGTCCCACAGAGCACTTCAGCTGCCTGCCTGAAGCCTCACGAGCAAAACCCCTCCGACACCCCAGCAATATCCGTGCCCCAGATGGCCCCGGGCCTCATACACAGGTGGGGGGTCCTAGCACCCAATCCCACCTACCCCGAACAAGTTCTGTCCGGTTCCAAGAAACCAGCCACAGATCCCTGGTCAATTTACCCTCTGGACCTTACCCACAAATCACGCTGGGCCAATCCTTTAGAATCTAAAACTAAAGGTTTATTATCACAAGAAAGAAAAGCCTGAGAGTAAGGTTGTTAAAGGATAGTACGTTACATGCACCGAATCTCCCAGTCCTCGATGCAGGCTCTAGCAGAGATGTTACAGCTGCTGGTTTAAAAGTTCTTGTTGCACATCATAGCATCAGGATGGGTTCACAGCTCTGCACTTCATCCCAAAGGCAGCAGTGGCAGGGATCGAAGAGCCCGGAAGACCTGTGAACCCATCCTGAGGTACATCCGTGAGGGCCCATTCACTGTCTGCGCCATGAAGAGAATGAAAACGTGAGATGCCTGGATCTTGTCATCCCCTCGTCTAGCCTCACAGCGGGCCCCAGACTCCTGCTCACAGCCCTGCGCAGTGCTGTCCCTCGGCGGGAGAGGGTGATAACGGGGGAGCAAGGAAGGGCTCCCCCGCCCCCGGGGCTTCCAGAGGCCAGGTCCACGTAGCACAGAGGGAGCCTCCATCGCTCACAGTACACGGGCTGCAGGAACGGTGAAGGGCCGAGTGCAGTCGGCAGGAGCTGAAGCGGTGGTCCCATGGGAAGTCCTGTCTGGCGGTTAGAACCCGGCTCAGACCCCACTAGCACGGGCCCGGCGGGAGAGAGGAGCAACAGCAGAACTCGCCTGCGCAGGGACCCGGCCCCGAGCCAGGCAGGGAGCCTGGGCGCCCCAGGAGCCGCCCCTGCAAGGGAGAAGGGCTGAAAAGGGCCGATCCAGAGCCGGGGGAGAGCTCAGACCAAGGACTGGAAGGGACGAAAGGTCACTCCTGAGGTCTGTGCCTGGCAGCAAGGGGAGGCGTCGCCTCTCGGGCGCAGGGAGACTCAGGCCGACTCCCTCGCTGCCACACACACAGATCCTGTCGGGCTGGCCCCTTGTGCTTTGGAAGCCAAACCTACCAGGAGAGAAGAGCTGCCAGGCAGGCGCTCGTCCGGACTCCGCTGGGCACGGTTCCCGCGGTCGTCGTGCGGCTCCACCCGGCGCACCCAGCTGTCGCCGCTTCGGGGGGGGCCGAGACAGAGAAGGGGAGTCACAGGATCTCGTTTCAACGCCCAGCCTGCCAGTAGTGAAATGGGGGGAGGGGAGTGACCAGCCGTTTCTAAAGCACGGGCGGGGTTCTTCTCGGACGCGCTGGGAGAGAGAGGGCCAGAGAGCGCGCCTGCGGATCTGCCGGGCGCGGGGGCCATTTTCTTCCCAGCTGCATGGCCGGTGGCCCCGCAGCCTAAAAGACAAGGCCCACAAAGGGCTCCCCCCTTCTCCTCCCCGCTCACAAAGGAAGCTGTTTAAATACCAAAGGGCTGGTCGGCCAGTGTCACTATTCCCATTTCACTGGTGGGGAAGGAACACGCTGCCAAGCTGGTCAGGTGCTAACGAGCCTCGTTCCCATTCCCAGCCAGACCTGGGACCAGGCGCCTCCTCCCACAGCCCCGCTCTAACCCGCAAGCCACACTTCCTCCAGGAGCCGGGGTGCGCGGCGGGGCCAGCTCCTTTGCGCGGTGGCCTGTGCCGACGCCTCCGCAGGGCAAAGGTTTAATACCGTCCCTCAGTGCGCAAGGCTGAGCCGTTTCATGGGTAAATGGCTTTGAGGGGCTGCAGCCAGGCAAAGCACCCCTCCCCCCCGCTACGCTTCGTCTCGAGAGCCCCTCCGCGGAAGGGAAGGCGCCAGGCTCTCGTGGCTCCATGATTAACTCTTTGCCTTGTTCTCTCCCCCCCGGCTTTTCCCATGGCAGGGGGCTGGCTGCACCGCCCTGGTGGTGGCCGTGGTGGCCAGGAAACTGGAACTCACCAAAGCCGAGAAGCACGTGCACAACTTCATGATGGACACGCAGCTGACGAAGCGGGTAAGGGGCAGCGGGGCCGTGGCGCTGGGCGGGCGCACCTCCCCGAAGCTCACAGCCAGGGGAAGACCCG